ACCACCGCCACCACCATCATCATCATCATCATCATCATCATCATCATCATCATCATCATCGGGCGCGCGCTCCCGCACGCGCAGGCTGCGCGACGACGACAGCTGCCGACCATCATCATCATCATCGTCATCATCATCACCATCATCATCACCACCACCAGCGCCACCACCATCATCATCATCATCAACACCGCCACCACCACCACCATCCTCACCATCATCATCATCATCATCATCATCATCATCATCATTAGCATCATCATCATCATCATCATCATCATCATCATCATCATCATCATCATCATCATCATCATCGGGCGCGCGCTCCCGCACGCGCAGGCTGCGCGACGACGACGGCCACCGACCGTTATCATCACCATCACCACCACCATCATCATCATCGCCATCATCATCATCATCATCATCATCATCATCATCATCATCATCATCATCATCATCATCATCATCATCATCATCATCATCATCATCATCATCATCATCATCATCATCATCATCATCATCATCATCATCGGGCGCGCGCTCCCGCACGCGCAGGCTGCGCGACGACGACGGCCGCCGACCACCGCCGAAGGCCGCCGAGGGCCCCCGAACGCTTCCGCAGGCCCCCCACCGCCGCCGACGGCCGCCGAACTCCGCCGCAGACCGCCGGTCGCCGCCGAAGTCAGCCGAAGACCTCCGTCGGCCGCCGAGGGCCGCCGAAGGACGCCACGGCGCAGCGGCGGCGGCGGCCCCTTGGGGCAGGGGGGGCGATCCAGGGCGTCCGCGCTGGGCTCTTTCGCCTTGCGGGCAGCCGCCGCCCAAGCGCAGCCGTTTCGCTCTCTCGCTGTCCCCGGTTCCTTCTGAACGCGTCGCGTTCCCATGCCCCTGTCCGCAAGGGGGGCTGACTGTCGGCCCTTCGTCGCGAGCTGTGGGCCCCATGATGGCCCGTGTTCCCGTCTTGCGGCCGCCCGACTTGACCACGTGCGTGTCTCTGCCCCGTTGCTTTTTGTTTTTCTCTCTCTTTCTCTCTCTCTCTCTCTTGCTCTCTCTCTCTCTCTCTCTCCCTCTCTCTCTCTCTCTCTCTCTCTCTCCCTCTCCCTCTCAAACACACATTGGTTCCCTCACTGCGCGCCTCCAGCTTCATCCCCTTGTATCTCCCTCCCTTCCTTTCGTTCTCCCTCTCCTGTTCTATCTCCCTCCCTCCCTCCCTCGCTCCCTCCCTCTCGCTCCTGCCGCTCCGACCTCCCCCAGATCCCGCCCCGTCCGCTCCTTTCGTGTCCTCTCCCTTTCCGTTCCCCCCATCCCCGCTCGAGCAGGCTTCGGGGCGTCCACGAGGGGGGCGAGAAAAAGGAGGTTCGTGAATCATGGTTCGAGGCACGAGCGCAAGCAAAGGGCAAAGGGGACGTCCCGGCAAGAGACGACGGGGCCATGAAATCTTGGAGGCATCATGGTCCCGGGAATGATATATGGATCTGACCACGCATTTAGATGTATACATACACATACATACATACATACATACATACATACAGACAGACAGACAGACAGACAGACAGACAGACAGACAGACAGACAGACAGACATGCATGCATGCATGCATGCATACATACATAGATAATTACATGCATGCATACAAACAAACATACATATATACGTACGTACATACATACAGACAGACATACACGCTGGCATGCATGCATGCTTACATGCATACATACAAACGTATATACAGACATGCATGCATGCATACTTACATACATACATGCATGCATACACGCATGCATACATACATACTTGTACATATGCATGCATGCATGCATACAAATATGCATGCACATATGTACATGCATGCATACACACCTACCTACCTACCTACGTACCTACCTACCTACCTACCTACCTACCTACCTACCTTACATACATACATACATACATACATACATACATACATACATACATACATACGTACGTACGTACATACATACATACATACATACATGCAGACAAACAAACAAACAAGCAAACATACATACACATGTTTTTGTCGGCGGCGCAGAGGGTCCTCAGGCGCGAGCATTAGATGAAAGTGCGATGTGCGATCGAACATTGTCGAAGGCACCGTGTACATAACGTGCACACTGTCAATGCAGCGATGGGTGGTGTGAAGGAGAAGTGGCAAATCCAAACGAAACGAGCAGCAGCCAGAAAACCGAGGAGGCGCCTCAACTCGAAACAAACGAAGGCGCAAGCAGTCTGGTGCGAATTGGCGGCCATTGGATCACCGACGACACTGTCGGGCAGCGAAGCGCAAAAGAACTTGCAACTGCTGCACAACGCCGAGCTCAGAAAGGTGGGGCACAACGCCGAGCTCAGAAATCCTGCGAAGCAAATTCGTCGAGTGCAGTCGTACGAACCAACAATGCAAAATGGACAGGACACAAACCCTGACTAAAAGAAAACTGCATAGGTTGGCGGGATCTCGGCGACACGTGGAAACATGTACATGCGAAACCGAAGCCAACCTAACGAAACTACGCCGTCAAATCCTTGATGGGTAGTACGCCACCAAGTGAAGCCAATGTCAGGACACGTCTGGGCTGGCCAAAAAGGCTGCGATAGCGCCGATCGGTTTTTGTTGGCGGGGTGCCGATGCAGCAGTAGACTTAGTGCCGACCATAAATCGGGCAGCACGGGTAACATTGCGAGGTGCACTTTACGCAACGACGTCTCGGTCGTCACCATTTCGACCAAGGACGTCCTGTAGAGGAGAAAGAAAAAAGGCTAAGGAGGAGGGAAAGGCAGAAGGGGGGTACCGAAGGGCCGCGACTGCTAGGCGAGCACGCGGAAGAAGCTGGACCAACCGCGGTGGGGTCGATCCGGAAGAAAATGAAGAGGGAACGCGAGGAGGACGGGACCGACAAACCACCGCGGAGGGGAGCGCCGCCGAGGGTGGCGGAAACGCCGCGCCACCTCCGACTGGAAACAGAGGACGGCAAGCCACACACCCTACTTGGCCATAACCATCACTGGCAAAACCGGGGACGGGAAAACTCGGCCAGCGGGGCTGTATATCCGCACACACAGACATACAGACAGACAGACAGACAGACAGACAGACAGACAGACAGACAGACAGACATGAATGCATACATGCATGTATGCATACATATGTATATATATATATATATTCCCCTATATGTTTATAAGCACGGGCGGGGGGGAAACCCGTCCCCCCCCCCCCAAAAAAAAAAAAACGGACTCCCGGGATTTAGGGCTTTGGGACCCCTCGGACGGGCCTCGAAGCGGCCCCCAGGGCCTCGCAGAGCGTTTTGCCAAGCCTTCGCAGCACACCTAGGGCGATCAGGGGGGTCATCGGAGACGTCCCAGAGAACCCCAAGACAGCACAAGAGCGCTCCAAGAAGCAGTCATACCCTGAAAGATCGCTCCAAAACGTACCATGAGGCCTCCAAGAGCACCCCCAAAGAGGCCCCAAGAGGGACAAATAATTGATTTAATGTAGGTTTTTGGTGAATTTGGGGTTCTCCTCTTTTCGGCTTCCCGACGCTCCAAGACAGCTGTCTTCTGGGCGTCCGAAGTCGCCTGGGAGGCTCTAAAATCGCCCCACAACCATCCGAAAGGGTTTCCAGGCAGTCCAAGAGAACCCCAAAACGGCTCAACAGGGGTCCAAAATGGCCCTAAGAGAGCCCCATGGCGGCCCAAGATGGCCCCGAGACACCCTCCGAATCGTGACCGGGGCGTTCAGGGAGACCGCGGTTAGAGGCAGGTTGGCCTTAGGAAGCCCCAGAGGCCCCCAGAACACGCCCAGGAGGCCTCCAGAAGGCTTTAAGAAAGCCTGAGAGCTTTGGTGAGGCCCCCAGAGGCTCTCCAAGGAGGAGCCTCCGCAAAAAGAGCTGAGGAGGATGAGGAGAATGCCCAGGGTATGGCGAAAAGGAGGAGCAGCAAGCATGGAGGAAGGATAACGAACAACATTGTTAAAATGGCGACGCCAGAAAAGGCAGCAAGGAGTTATCGCGAAATTGTCCGCTTGACCTTCCTGCAATTTCCGCCTGCATACCAATATTCAAAGACCAAGGTGCATGGTGCAAAGCGCCACTCAATTCCTGTGTATATATCTATATATTTATACATACATACATACATACACACATACATACATACATACATACATACATACATACATACATACATACATACATACATACATGGATACATACATACATACATACATACATCCATACATTACATACATTACATGCATTACATACATACATACATACATACATACATACATACATACATACATACATACATACATACGTACATACATGCATTCATGCATGCATGCATACATACATACATCCATCCATCCATGCATGCATGCATGCATGCATGCATACATACATACATACATACATACATGCATGCATGCATGCATGCATGCATGCATGCATGCATGCATGCATACATACATACATACATACATACATACATACATACATACATACATACATACATACATACATACATACATACATGCATGCATGCATGCATGCATGCATGCAAACATACATGCATCCATGCATACATACATACATACATGCATACATACATGCATACATGCATACATATATACACAAGTACATACACACACATACAGACATGTGTACATACAAACAAGCACATATACATACATATATACATACGTACATACAACCATACATACATACAAACGAACAAACAAACACACAAACAAGCAAACAAACAAACAAACAAGCAAGCAAGCAAGCAAACACACACACATACATACATACATACATACATACATACATACATACATACATACATACATACATACATAAATACATACATACATACACACATACATACATACATACATACATAAATGCATATATACATACATACATACATACATGATTACATACAACGCGGCTGAACCCAGAACTGACGACGGCGGCGGTCGACCGAGCCCCGCGACCCACGAGAAGGACGGGACCGACGAACCACCGCGGAGGGGAGCGCCGCCGAGGGTGGCGGGCACGCCGCACCACCACCCACAGAAAACAGAACGCCACAGGGCCGAACGCAGGAAGTGGCGGAAGCAAGGGTGGGCAAGGAGAAAGAGGAGGAGGAGGAGGAGGAGGAGGAGGAGAAGAAAGAGAAAGAGGAGGAGGAGGAGGAGGAGGAAGAAGATGGGTACTGCGAGAAATGGGGGGTGATGACACGCACACCCAGCGCCCTTCCCACTACTGCGAGACATGATGAAGTGCCGCGCACACCGGAGTGACAAGTACCGCCCGCCTCTATTCTCGCCCCCTACCCCAGCGATCCTTTGTCACCAACCTTTGCTGCAAGACTTGATTAGGTGCCGCGACAACGCACCGCTTTCCCCATCTGAAGGCATGAGGCAAAGATACACGTGAAACGTGAGCTGGCGCCGCAGCGGATGCTAGCCAAGAAAGGGAGAGAATTCGAAGAGGAGACAAAGAAAATATGACGTACCACGCCGGCCGCGATAGCCAGGCATGCACGCAAAGGAGGCTCAACCTTCGCGGCGGGGACAACCCAGAAAAATGGGGAGAAGGGACCGACGACCCACCGCGGGGGGGAGCGCCGCCGGGGGCTGCGGGAAAGCCGCGCCACCTCCAGCAGAGAACAGAGCGCCACAGGCCTGAAGCCAGGTGGCGGAGACAAGGATAGAGAAACAACGGGAGGGGCAATGCACCTGAGCGGACAGGTCGGCACGCGCGCAGTGCGACTA